GCATTTCCAAAGCATCCTCCTTCATTTCCAATTAGAGTGTAACTTCCTTTCCACTCTCATGGCTCAGGATTTCCTCTTGTTCCAATGTCTTAATCATGAGCGTGGATGGGCCCCACCAGCATGCAGCTCCACCCCACGTGGCCTCCGTGGGGAGAGGTGTGTGGGAGTGTGGATGGCTTTGGGCCCCACCAGCAGGCAGCTCCACCCCGCATGGCCTCTGTGGGGAATGGTGTGTGTGGGAGCGTGGATGGCTTTGGGATCCCCCGCTGGTGACCAGCACACGGCTCCACCCCACGTGGCCTCTGTGGAGAGTGGGTGTGGGAGGCGTGGATGGCTTTGGGCCCCCCTACGCTGGTGACCAGCACGCAGCTCCACCCCGCATGGCCTCTGTGGGGACTGGGTGTGGGGGAGTCAGATGACAGACGTCTGCTGCTTGTGGACCAATGCTGAGGGAGGCACCCCTGCCCCTCCCCTGTGGCCACCCTGCCTGTGTCTACATCAGCAGAGCTGATTTGACCAGCTGCAGCGAAATTCAGGCCCAAGTCCTTGTTAGTGGGTGCTGAAGACGAGGTTCCCACACTATGAAGTCTGATTCTGAATTCCACCTTGCCAGCCTCTTCCTGGTATGTCCTTGGCACTGGACTCCACACCCAGGCTAAACCAATCACGTTCCTCACTCCGTCAGCCCCCGAGACCCACACTAGTCCCGATGCTCTGCCCGAAGCCAGCTTCCCTGTGGAGCTTTGTCTAAGCCCTGCCCTGACCTCCCAGATGTGGCATCCAGTGCCCCAGAGAGCTCCGGTCTGAACGTCCCCAGCACCAGGCGGGGGCCGCTGACTTCCAGAGTGACACCACCGTCGGGAGGTGCGACGCTTTGCTGGGGACAGACTCTGCACAGGGTGGACCCGACCGTGGAGTGCCGATGCCTGCCTGGGGTCGACAGTGAAGGCTGGCTGGGTGGTAAGTATGTGTCACAGAGGAATTCGCTTCACTTCACCATTACACTTTTCAAAATAAACATGTTTTGTCTGCTTTACCCGGAAGCCAGAAGCCTGGGCAGCCCTCGCTCCAGCAGAGAGGCCTCTGACTAACCCGGAACACTGCAGGCTGCGGGGTCTGGCCATTGGCACAGAGTCCATTTCTGAGCCGGGATTCAAGGGAGGTTCAGGAGAGAGGAGGGGAGCGTCTGCCTCCACGTGGACACCCTACATGTGAGACACGAAACACGGAGAGCAGCACAACAGAGGAGACCCTGCTCCGACGCTCAGCATGTGGAAGCAGGAGGACGTCACGGAAAGTCACGGAGGTGCTGCTACTGAATGACACAGGGCGCCCTCCCCAGGCTGAGAAACGAGGACGGCTGGATGCCGTGTCTTAGAGGCTGTCAGGTGGAGGACGCTGAGGTCACACGGAGGGAAACTGCTCAGGACGGGAGACCCCATGAGCCTCATCCCACCACATGGGGTCAACACAGGAGCCCCCTATGAGCCACACCCCCACCACGCAGGCTGAGGGTGGGAAACACACCCTCTGTGGCGCCCCAGAGGGAAGTTTGAAGACACAGCCTGAACTCGGCCAAGCACATGAGGGGATTCCCGGCAACAAAGCGGCAAACCACGGGCAGCCCCACAGGTCACCAGTGGGGATCTTGGAAGACTGGGAGCCAGCCAAAGCAAACACTGTTTCTGAAGAATGACTCCTTACCTTTTCTTTGAAAGGAGCAATACAAAGATGAATCAGAAATATAGTATTTAAGAAGAAACTACCAAGGAAGTAAAGAGTAGAAAGGGTTTTTCTGTTCTGCCAGTTAGACTGGACGGCTGAGCCGTGGAGATTCACAGTGGCTCCCAGTCACTGCTGTGGACTCTGCGGTACAGTAAGTGCCTCCTTGAGCAAAACCCACTTATTTTTAATATTCACTAATACCCGTGCTCATGCCCAAGGTCCATAAATTAGCAGAATTCCCGGAAAAGCATCGCCCAGGGTGAAGCAGAGACTCTGAGTAATGAAAAGCGGCTGCTCTCCTCATTCGGCATCAAATCCACACGACGTTTAATGGGGACTAATGTGGGATTAACTACACTCCGATTCATGACGTTTTGTATCATTCTGTATAAAATTAGCAAAATGAATGCCTTTTGAGTTCTGCTGCCAGGGTGGCGTCTCCTGCATCAATAACAGCAGGAGATGTCAGCAGCCTCAGTCCGCAGGCCCGTGGGGGAACCAGGCCCAGGCAGCCACTGGGCTCCAGGCAGCTGGCAGGTGCACGCAGCACCCAGCAGCTTCAGCAGCGGATCTGGAGTTCCGCATGCTGGTGACAAACACAGGCAACATGACTTGTTCTTCCGAGGGTGTCTGCCATCACCGGAGGGCGTTTGTGCCAACACTATTAGGATTCCACGTCATGTTTTATAACTTGAGATCACAAGAAACTCCTTTCGAGGTTGGAACTCTTCCCTGCTCTCACGTCAGCCTGTCTACGTCTCATCTGAAATGCCTCTCGGTGAGAAGCCCCTCTTCACCATGCCAAGTGCTCGCCCGAGGCTGACGGGCCGGCACCACCACACAGGGGCATGTTCGCCCCCTGACTCATGGTCACACATTCTTTTTTATAATCTTTTTCTTTTTTTTTTTGAGACAGGGTCTCCCTCTGTGGCCCAGGCCGGAGTTCAGTGGTGCAATCTTGGCTCACTGCAACTTCCGCCTCTTGGGTTCAAGCACTTCTCCCACCTCAGCCTCCCGAGTAACTGAGATTACAGGTTCGTGCCATCACACCCAGCTACATTTCTTTTTTGGATTTTTAGTAGAGATGGGGTTTCACCATATTGGTCAGGCTGCTCTCAAACTCCCAACCTCAAGTGATTGGCCCAGCCTAGCCTCCCAACATGCTGGGATTACAGGCATGAGCCAGTGGGCCCGGCCAATCTTTCCTTATACATCATAGAATTATGGCACATCCACAACACCACAGAACTATTCAAAATATTTAAAAACTAATTCTTTAAAAATTATACATGAGTGTAAACAATTTTGCACACATATGACAAGCAAGAAACATTCTGACTCGCTCAGCCACGGGAGTTACCATGGATGCACTGGTGCCAGTGAGCAAATGCAGGTGTTTAGAAAGTTGTTGACATGAGACCCAAACCCACATTTCATGTGTGACTCCCCCTTGCTGCAGCACTTTGCTAAATAACATGAACACTCGAAATGACCGAGAAACTAGCTTTCAAATAATCAGCCTCATTTTCCCTAGAAAGCCGTAAAATAAACCAGAGGCCCCTGACTGGGAGTATGTCCTGACAATTTTTAAAAAGATAACAAGATGGCCATTCCTAGCATCCGTGAGTCCAGCAAACCTAACTCTAGTGGCACCACTCCCCCGTGCTGGAGAAACGGTCAGTCCTGCAGTGACCGTGGGTGCATGTCTGCATAAAACCTGATCGCCGATTTGGTCTTAAATATGTTCAATAATCATGTCTGACGGGGAGCTGGTGCAAGAGAAACAGGCTGTGGGGGGAAGCAGGCACAGACGCCATGGCTGGGACCCTCACTCCTTCCTGTGCGCAGTGTTTGGCGTAGAAGCCACTAGCTTCTCGCGCTGGGCCGCACAGCTGGAGGGAGCACAGTGGGCTGCTTTGCCGAGTTGCACCCCAGCTTCACGGGCCTCACAGCAAAGCATGGCGGCAAAATGAAGACTGCGGATTCAAATCTCCACAAAGCTTAAATCAGACTGCAGAAGTTTGGCACACTTTGCAAACAATTGTATTTCGACCACAAATCCTCAGCCCCCTAAATCACCAGCTAGAGCAAAGGAGTCACTGAGGGCACAAGGACATCCCATAAGCGAAACCGAAAGCAACCAAAGCAGACAGGACCAGAGATTCATTCCACCCACAGAACAAGGCGGCTGCTTCGTGCCTTGGTTACGCGCACCAGAAAAAGAAACTTCAAGTTTACAGGTGCCAGTACAGTGGCGCTTCCATCAATGAGAACTAAATATTGAAATCCTGAAATGAACCACAGTATCCTGCTGCATTTTACACTGGGAAAAAAAGACACACATTTAAGCAGAAAATAGTTCACAGACTCAGCAACATAAAGGGTTCACTAAAACCAAGAGTCGTGTGCGCGGCTGGGTCGGCCGCTCCACCCACTTTACCAGCGATTACAGAATGCCAGCGCCCTGCCTGCGGAGCGGGCCTCACACACAGAAACCTGGGGCTGAAGTTCTGTGACGCTTCCTGGACTTTTTGTACTAGGCAGGAAGATTAAACAATTTGCTCTGTAAGAGTTTTCAACAAGCTAAAAAAAAGAAACATCAGGTTGAGGAAAACGCAAACATCAGGCCCACCCATTCTGCTCCTCAAGGCTCTGGTGAGTGAAGCTTTGTCTTTTTCCCTCAATGACCATTTTAATCACATCACAAAGATCACTCAAGCTCTATCGGTAAGTGCATCTCAAAAACGTGTGATTCACAACGCCCAGAACCCTGGGCTGTGAACGCTGAGACCATCTGGAAGTCGGCCGGTTTTTATGGGAAACTTCCAGATCCCACGCGGCATCTCTGCCCACCAGACGGGAGCGGGGCCGGTTTGTGCTCCTGGTCTGGTACAAAATGAAAACCTCGAAGCAAAATTGCAGGTGCCCTGCACACAGTGGGGTTACTACAAACAGTAAATCTTGCTTTTCCAAAAGCCGCACTTGCTCTCGGTGACACGCAGCCCTGTGTGTCCTGCCTTCTGTCTGAGCCAGTTCCATGTATCAGGGCGGTCCGGCCCTCTCCAGCAGTGACGTCCCAGATGGTGCCCACGGACCACCAACGGCCCCTCCCCTGCAGGACATGCCAGCTTTCCATGGAAACTGTGAGCTTCCTTTCGGGTTGCTCCATATATGTACTGTCAGGCCCTCTCTGCCCTGGCTGTGTGCGTGCATGTGTGTGAGCGCACGCACATGTGTGTGAGTGTGTGTACGTGTGTGCATGGAAGGAGCCTCACCTGTGGCCTTCTGCACATCCGCAGTGGTCATGTTTTGGACATTGGCGCTCACTTTGAAGGTCACTGCTGGTCCAAGAACCCTGGAAGAGATGATTTGAAATAAGTTCATAACAGTCCACGTGCCACACTGCTTTTCTGAAAACGTGGAAAACACTGGTATGTTTTTAAAAACACAAACATCCGAGGCCACTGCGGCTCCAGGCGTGAACTCCACAGGACATCAGTTTTCGTTCCCACTGTGATCTTTTGTTTCCATTTTCCAGTAATTCCGTTTCCAAAACACACTTCACAGTGTAATACGTATACTAAAAAAATCAAATCAACCGCCAGACCCAACAATAGCAAGCAGATACTCTTGCCAGGAAAAAAGGAAGTCGCTATTGAAATAGATTTTAGTCTTTGTCCCCAAGGGAGATGTATGAATCAAGAACGGAGAGGAGAAAGACTCATATTTTAAAAATGCTTTTGACAGGAACCATTTTAAAAACTACCAAAGTCATTAGGAAGTCCTCTGCATAAAAACAGCTGGCAGGGAATTGCAAGGCAGGAATTATCAAAATTGTTTGAAGCTTTTTAAATGCTATGTCAACCACAATTTAGAAAAAATACATTCCTTTCTTAACCATTTAATTCATCTGAAAACCCCACATGCAGTAGGAACTGGATACCGTGCCTAGCCCTCTCAAAACGAATTAGGAATGCAAGGTCCGTTCCCAAAGGCAGACACACCCCACGTCCACAGAGGGCAGCCATGGGTAGCTCTTCCTGGAACGACCCCTTCAATGTCTTCTAAGGGATAAATCCCAGGAACAGACAAGAAATGCCAAGAGGACCCAATTTAGGTGGCAGACGGCCGCTAAGGCTGTGGGCTCCTGGTCCCTGGGAGGTGCCTGCGCTCCCATCTAAGCTGTTAAACTCTGCCCAAGTGGATACCACGGAGCCCAGGGCCCCTTGCTGTCCCCACCGCAGCCACACACCCCTGCTGACGGGTACAAGCCCAGCTGGCGGGAAATGCCACAGGCTGGCCACCCCCCCCCCCTTCCCCCCGCCCCCCCCCCCCCCCCCCCCGCCCGCCTCCCCCATCCCCACTCCCCTTCCCCCCCCACCTCCCCACTCCTCTGCACCCGCCTTCCCTAGCTCCTCCACCACAGGCTCATCCCAAGGCAGCACAGGACACGGGGCCATGGATTTTGCACCCAAAATACTTTCAATCTCACATGTATTTGCGATTCAAGTATCTCTGCTCATGATACTTTGGTCCCAAGCTCTGGTCTTCCTCCTCGGGACTTGTGCCCACTCTCCTCTGCGTGCAAACCCCTGGTGAAGGGAGACTGCTGTGCCCTTGAAGGCGGCACCACTGCCACCCTAACACCGAGGCTGAATATTCCACGCAGAAGTCTCAGCATCACCTTGAACTCAACAAGGTCTCCCCCGAAACAGCAGCTGCTCTGAGGAGCAGACACGTTCTAACCTTACAGATGTCCCCTTTGGCTTCCTTATGCCAGAAATATCCAGCTAGTCACCAAATTCTGCAGAAAGCCCTGGAAAATGCACCACATCCATGGCTGTCTCTTGGTTCCCACTGTGAACCTTCCAGCCCAAGCCTGTGCTGCCTCACAGCGGAGCTGAGTGACTTCCTGTGTCCAGCTCTCCTGCACACAGAATGTCCCTGGGAGCTGCCTCCAGGGACCCATCATGGAGTAGGGACTGGTGCCTCCTTCTCCAGCCCAGGTTAGTCCCAGCCCCCAGCCCCCCGCCTGTCTGCAGTGCCCCGGCTGACCACGGAGCAGGGACCAGCGTGTCCTTCTCCAGCCCAGGTTGAAGTCCCAGCCCTGGGCCCCCGGCCTGTCTGCAGTGCGTCGGCTGGGCCCTCTGTTGGTCCCACCTACGGGCCCTTGGATAGGAGGAGGCCACTCCCTTCCTGGACTGCAGCTCTCCTGCCAAGGACATCCCCTCACTCGTGAGTGCTGAGTTCTGCCCCCGTCCAAGCCCTTCTCCCGAGGGAGCACCATGATAGTGGCAGATTCTCCCTGTCTGCAGAACCTTCCAGAAGTGCCCTAAGTGCCTGATATTTAGGCTCAAATGGTACACGGGACACTTTATAGATGTTTTCCTCCTTCAGGCATGCGTGATGACTCCTGCCAGGACCTCAGGCACGCAGATGATCAATTCATATTGTAACCGGTTCAACGCTTGTGTTGAATGGCTTTTTACAATTAAGAGAAAGTCCTCATTAACACAAGCAGCATCCTCTACCCCCGAAACAACACTGGGAGCAGAGCGCCCAGTCACAGGGCTTCGAGCTTCCGTGAAACTGAATCTAAACCACATCTGAAGCATTCCCTGACACATGGGGCTGAGCTTTCCTAACCCCAACGTTCCCTCAGGTGCAGAAAGTTTTCGTTAAAGTCTAGGAGCTAACACTTGGTTTCTCAGAGTCCAAAGACCCAGACCCTGTGCCAGGAAGACACATGTGATCCACGCGTGGCCCCATATTGCATGGTGAGGGCCACAGGAGAGACCCATGCAGCGTGTCCTTCGTCGCATGCAAGCTGAGCGCCACCGTCATGTGAGGCCATGGTCGTCACCAGGGAGTGAGTGCTCCTGCCACCCTGGGGGCACACCTCGCACGCAGCGAGCACCCAGCGACCCTTGCCGGCAGCACCAGCGAGACCCAGATGCCTGTGGCCGAGATGCATGGAGCCCTGGCCCCAGCCCTTGTGCCCTCAGGAGCGTGCAGGAGGATGATGCCATGAGGCCCATTCTAGAGGACACTCAGGGTGTCGGTAATGTGACCCGGACCGCATAACCCTCCCTAACCTGAACACACACAAGCTCTTCCCTCAGCCCACAGCGGCTGCTCTCCATCCCGAGGCCTCACTGCAGGCCTCATTCTGTGAGTCGCTGTTCTGTGGCCCTGCTAGGCCTTTCAGCTGGGCCTCAGTCCACTCAGCTCTCAAGTGTGGCAAGGCCCCCGGGGCCTCTCGGGCTGGCTCTGGCCCAGGAGACTGGTTTTCAATAAAGTCTGGTACCCAGGCCCAGAGGGTCTACAAGTAAAGAGGGCAACTGGTGGCTCCAGAGCTGAGCTCCTGGATCTGCCCCTGGCAGATCAGCAGCAGAGACTCCTCCCCGCAGGAAGACCTTGTCCCGTGCTTGTTACCAAGCCCCACACTTCTGCTGTGCAGGAGGCAGGCGGCTGAGTGCTGTGCATCCAGGCGAGAGGCTTCCAGGGAGGGAGGCCAGCAGTCCCACCACGAGAGGCTTCCAGGAGGGAGGC